AGCAACCCATTACAAGAACCAACTACTTCCGTAGTCCCAGATTGGGTATGCAAGGGAATTCCGTTTTCCAGTACTCGAATAAGGACTTCTCGCTAAACAGAGAATAGAAGTTTGGGCGACATAGCTTGAGTTTCGCCGGCACAATGAGGAGATTGCCAGTGTTGTAAGAAGAAGAGTGATTCAAGTGTGTCATGATAAAGCTAGGGTCTTTGATCAAACAATACCATGATTTGCAGACAGAAGTAAATCTGATTAAGGTTTTAACCGGTAACCTCGACAGAATTTCGGTCAGAATTTCAGAAGGAAGATGCACCGTCGGCATCACGTCACATGGGTTGAGGTTCGTCAGCATCAGCTCCATGGAAAACGGCATGCGGTAACATATTTATTACATGTCTCTCCCTCTGCCTAAGCCCTCTCTCATTATGGAGAAGCAGGGGACATGGTTGTTGTAAAAACGTGGGTGAACTACATAAGTCCCCCCAACTATGTAGTATTTTCATATCAGTTCTCTTAGCATAATTTGTGTTATATTAATTCCTGAACTATTGTAATTGCATCAAAATTTTGCCCCCCGTCTAGGCTCAACCAAAATTGAATTTAATAATTGGAAAAATTATCATATAAACATTGGTTTATTATATACATATAGACATATGATACACTACTTGAAATATATCAAAATTTACATGAAATGTCTTGCATACAATCCACTTGATTTAATTTGGAGTGTTTGATTGACCTAACATTAGTTTTAGATATTAAATAATATTAAATGATTTTGTTCTTACTTTTATAAATTAATTTAAACTATTTTATACAAATAAGTTTTACCCTTGTTTTGTCATTATAAAGTAAACAAAAAATGCAAATTTATCTGATTTAGTTTGATGATTAAGTTTCAAATTATGATCATTAAATAATTTTTATTAAATTTAAGTTATTTATTTTTAACTAAAAATTTTTTATTTAATTAGGTTGTACAAATAGTATAAATTATTTTTATAAAATTTAATTATATTTTAATTTAATATCTAAAATTAAATACATCTAACAATATTTATAATCAATCATAACACATTAACTTAATTTTTTAAAAAAAAATTAAAATTTAATTATTCTAATAATATTATTAAAAAAAATTCAATATTTTAGACTAAAATTCAAAATGAAATATAATAATTAGTTTAACAGTATTGTTTTAAAAGGGTAAATGATGTAATAAATAATTTTAGGAGAGTAAATAGAATAGAGTAGAAAGTTTAATGGGATAAAATAATTTTTATACTTAACTTTTAATTCACACATGGCCTCTTTTATACTAATTTAAAATTGTTTTTAAAACATTAATAGGATAATTAACAAAGAAAATTTAAAACATGATAAAATACGGAATATTGAATTGCTAAAATTATATAGTTTAAATAAAATTTATTACACAAATGAATTAAAATTATCGTAAAATTTGGGAGAAATGATCAATCTAGAAGTGTGTTCGGCTGTTTAGTATCATCAAATCTATTTAACTGCATTAACAGAGAGTTTTTGTCCTTTGTTCTATAAAATTTACATTTATAATGCCTTATTTTATGTTACGGGGTTTGTTATATTTGCAAATTGACATTTATTTAGCAATTGATGTGGATTCAAGTGACTCAAAAATGAGGTTCAGTAAGTGTCAAAATCAATTCTTCTTGTTTTATTTACTTGATTTTCAAATAATTAAATATTTAAAAAATTTTACTTTTTAGGGGTGGAAGGGTGAGAGAATGTCAGAACGGTAAGGTTTGTAATTTATTCACGATAGATCACACATAACAACTCTTAATTATTTTGTTGTCCCTTAATTTCACACAAGATTCTAGGCTAATTTGCAGTTCATATACCAATATTAAAATTTTGAGGCATTTTAGATAATAAAGATACAAATTAATATCTTGCACTCTCACTTTTAGCAATTCTTGCACTGTCTCAAAAATTGACAATGAGCAGGCTGAAATTGGAATATTAATTGTTTGCCCGTCCATGAAACTTTTATCTCTAAATCAAATGAAAAACTCGTGGTGGTATTAAAAAGCAAAATATACTAAAAAATAGAGTAAAAGTAAAAAAAAAAAAAAAAAAGTTATAATACCAACTCAACTTTAAAGTAAATTTAATTAAATTTACCAATTTAAGAAAGTTGGTTTTTACTTTCCAATTTGAATCTGATCAAATCTATTTATCTAACCTAAATATTCAAAAAAGGGTTAAAATATTAGTTGGATTTAACTAACCCAAAATATTTATATTAAACTTACTATCAAATAGAACATTTTTCTTTTAAACAAGTTAGCTTAATTTTGATCACTTTTTTTTGTATTATTACAAGTACTGGACCTTTCAATTTGTTAAATGGAAAAACAATGGCAATTGAATAAAAGTTTACCTAAGTGAGCAATCAATAAAAGTTTATTTAAGTGAAAAATCTCACACGGTATGAAGTAACTTGCCAAATTATATTTTGAGTTCTTGATATGATATTTGGATTTACAAATAGAATAATGAGAAAAATTATAAAAAAATAAAATTATGAGAGGGATACTTTCTTCTTTTCTTAGTTTACTAATAGAATTAATCCAAAGTGATAAATTTTTCATATTTGATAAAAACAATTATTTTCATCCATTCACTCATGAATAAAAAAATGATATTTTTTGTATCCCGTTAGAGAGAAAATAATATAAATAGGTTGCCTTACACTTTACATCTCAGTAAAATTAGAGAAAAATTATATTTATATATTGCACACACATATATGCGCACAAGATAATTTGTGCATTATACTCCAATGATATTGGAGAGAAAAAAGGTATGTTTCAATTTTACTGATTAAAGATAAAAAAATATCATACTCCATGGTTGGATTTTGAGTCAAGGTGCAAGAATTGTTTAAGTGAGAATGTGAGATGTCAATTTTGTATTTTTAGGATGTAAGGCACTGAAAAGTCTAATATTGAAATGCGTCCTGCAAATTTGCCCAAATTTTATTAGTTAATTTCCCAATTAGAAAAGAAATTCCATTACTAGTAATCAAAATAACAAGTATTCCTTGTTTTAATTCGTAGCACCAGTCGGATGCTATGCTACATAATTTTCACCATCTTTGATTAACTAATTCATTGAATTGGTGTAAAAAGTTCTAAGCTATCTGTTTCATCACAATCCATCCCCCACCCCCTCCCAAAATAAATAAATAAATAAATAAATAAAAATAAAAACATCCTCCTGCTTCTCTTCAAGTAGTCTAAACTGCAGAAGTTTAGAGACAAAAACAAAAACAATATGCTTCTCTTCAAGTAGTCTCTCTCTCTCTCTCTCTCTCTCTATATATATATATATATATATCCAATAAACAAAACCCGTGGTAATAAACAAGCAACCTAATTCTTTGCTAGAGCCCAATCTAGGTCTGCGTTAAACCTATTTCCATACAATAAACTTTCCTTCAAACACCATGATGATCACTCCCCCGGATGCTCCCATTTAATTACAAACGTAAGTTCCAAATGATGAAAGCCAAATTCAAGTTTACGCGTTCATGGAGCACTGAAATTATTTTGAAATGCTGAATTATATTTCCTCTTTCAACATTGTCACTTACATACAGAACTATCCCAGCCTACAGGAGACTGGCGAACAGAGAGCAATTAAAATTAAATTGGAGTGCAATTGCTAGGGAAAATGAAAATAAAATCACCGTGTGGTCAAGCTTTTTGCATAGCTTAGTTCAGGAAAAATCATATGCACCATCTGTTTCTCAGATGGGACAAGAATCCGGGATCCCACCGTGCACGGATTTGGACTTATTTTGCCATTTTCACGAGGCAAGGCATTTTGATGATCTAAAATAATCGACCTGACCGTAACAATAACAAACATGCCAACTGAGAAATATATGCCTTCTGCTTCTTTCAGAATATAGATACAACTATGGAGGCTACAACAGGTAGGCAACACGCCTTTGCTTTAGTCAAAATATGTCAAGAATACAACCTGTGCAGCTAACAACAAAACAAAGAAAAAATCATATATAATATACATATACCAAGAAGGATAAAGTGGAAAAAGGGCAAGCAGAGAAAGAGAAGGAAGAAACTACACTAATTTAGCTTGATTAGACTTACAAGGAGAATTTAGCAGTTAATCCAGACCATTTTACTCATTCCCAATATTCATGCATCACAAACTGAAAATAAAGCTGCCATGACTATTCCTGGTCTAGGCCCACAAAATAAGTTAAACTACCCTTTTTACATCAGAAATTCTCGTGTCTTTAGCAAGAATAATAAATTCACAGAGGTTAGTCTTTCTTTGCACAGTTTCCTTGGCAAGTAGTAGAATTTAAGTAGAAGAATTTACCAAGTTAGTGCACTTGTCTAGAGGTATTTCAAAGCTGCCCAAATAATCTTGAAATATGTTATAAATACTTAAACAGCATATACAAGTTAACTTTATCAACTTGGTGTTTTTAAATCTGACAAACCCATTTTATTCAGCTGAAAAGCATATCAACGTTCAAGAATTCCAGTCCAAGCATTGACCAATTATTCAAATCTTTGTGCTACCAAACAGGAAAGCAAATACTAATAATCTCTGGTTCATATCCATCATACACATTTCTCCTTGGAACAAGAAACATAGCACAGAGCATTCCTTATTAATAAATCATGTGGTTGCAAATTTCAATCCCCTTCAAGCAAACTGGAATTTTTCAAGCAGATATACAATGAGTCTTCTATTCCATTTGGCTTAAATTAATCATGGATACTCAGTCATCAAATAGAAGTATAAAGGAAAAAAATTCAGGGGACAATTCATCAACTCCAGGGAAGAAAGTTAAAAATGATAGTGAGTGATTCATCCAACATCATTCTAAAATGAACGTGAGCACAGATATGAAGCCGAAATTCTATGTTTCCAAGCTACGCTAAGATATAATCAAGAAGTGAATTCTTACTTGAGGACTCAAAACTGAGGATCAAAGAGAGTAGACTTCTTTGTGCATCTGTAGCATTCATTAACCACTTACAGAACAAATATGCTGCACCAACTACAGACAGAAGGGACAACATTGCCAGAAATCCAAAATGTCTTGAATCATTTGCAAGTATTGCAACTCCTAGCATTATAGACTCTGCCAGGCTTGCAATAGAAACCTCTGTTGTGGCAATGAGGTTAGCTTTGGATGCTGGGATCCCAGTTTGAAGAATCTGGGCTCCTATAACATCATATGACATGTGTCCCAATCTTGATAATACCTGAAAAAAGATTGTGTCAATCTTTCTTAATTTCCCAGCAGAACTTATAGAAACAGAATATTCAGATATATATTTTAAGGAACACAAGAAATGATATAGGTGTATATACATCATGTGCGCCAGCAAACAAGTTATCCACATCTGAAGTATAAATCAACTACTTTATATATATAGTAAGACTACAAGACTGCTTTTGGTGGTTCTTACATTGCCACATTAATGTTTTATTTATGCAATCATTGATATTTATCAATACAGAAGTTACCAATTCAAGAAGTGAATAGAATGGTGTATAATTTCTTTTTGCCCAAGATTGACAAATGGAAACAGCTGCTCTGCCATAAGTAAGGCAGTGTAGCTTTGTAACTCTACCTCGACCCCCCCCCCCCCCCCCCCAAGACCTTGGGATGCTCCATTTTTGTATGTTATTTATGATTTCCATTTTGTCTTTTTCCTCTGATTCTGTTCCATCTTTTTTCTTTTTATTCATTTTATTCTTCCTAAATGATTTTGTAGTGGAGAATCTTGTCTGTTGAAAATATCTGAGCAGACTGGAAGTTGTTGAACTTTGTACCAAGGGGCAAACTAGTTGGTAAAGTTGTTCTGAACCTAGTTCATGATAGGCAGTCTGATGCCCAACCTTTCCCATCCACCTTGACACCACAAAAAGTAAAGATAAAGGTCATTGAGCTACATCTACCACATGATAACAATACTACAGTTTACTAAAAGTGAGTAGCAATAATGATGAGAGATTACACTCAATAGTTAATACCAGCTTATAAAATATGGTATAATACCATTTGAAATAGCTAACTTAGCAATCCCCCTATTTTTCATTTTCATTTTGATTTTCTTGATGCTGCGTGGAACTGTAAACCCTTCTCCAAGGAAAAAGGAGAAGGAAAGCAAAATTGTAGAAAATGAAAATGAAGTAAAAGGTCGTGTTCAATTTTTTTTTTTTTTTTGGGGTTGAGTCAGAACATGAAATCAGAAGTTAACAACTAATATTCTAAAGAACCATTAAAATTTTTGCATAATTAGGTAGGTATGTGAAAATAGTATTAAAAAAAACTATTTTCCTTTTATTTTTCTTTTCCTCAAGTTCCAAATATAGTATATAGGTTTTCCTTAGAAGGAAAAAAAAACATGAAAACAATAAATTGATTCAGTTTCAGGACAAAGCTTCTAGCAGAACAAAATGGAAATGAATTGATCATAATCCTATCTACTTTTTACAGGATTAATCTGAAAGGGAAAAAAAAAAACTGCACTCTCGGACGATTGTTAACTCCACACCAAGGCCCCTCCACACAAGTTTGTGAATGAATCTGCCTTGGATGTGCACATAACCTAATTTTCTCTTTCATTTTATGTGTCATTAAAAGAAACCACTCCAGAAGTACTATAGTTATGAGACTGTAATCAATTCAAATTTACCACTTTTGCACCTCATTGAAACATTAAAGCTTGTGGTACACCATATATCTAATTCCCATTCCACATACTGGAACAATTTATGTTCTAAATAATGGATTACATGTCAAACCACTGGCAACATATAAATGCATGCTTTCACGCATCAGAAATCCAGGATATGATTCGCTTGTTTGCATGTGAGAGCAATAGAGAGAGAGCTTACAACCAAACACAAGAAGAATAGCAGTGGACTCTGCTGACTAAAAGATCCACTCCAATAGACAGTAACAGCTACTGTAAGAAGTGAAGCTTGTAATATCAGTCCAATTGCCCCAGCCTGGCAAAAGAATCCCAGATAATCAGGATTGAAAACATTAACAAAAACAAATATTACTAGTAGACCAAGAATGATAGTATATAATTAGAGAACAACCTTCAAAACACCAAACTGCCTGACCATGGTTTGCAGAAAGAAATGTTGCTGCAATACCCATGAAAGCACACAATCCACTAAAGGCACCAATTATAGATGGATTTAAACCTGAAACAATAAGAATGATGTATCTCAGACTTGAAAATCAAATTTAAGCTCAAGGATAATTTCTTAATATTATCAGCACTGCAAATTTTTATTCAGAATAGCCATAAAAAATTGTAAACACGGGGAAAAGAAGGAAAAGAAAAAGATGCTCATGTCAGCAAATCATAATAGCACCATTAATGCTTTCACATTATGGAAGCACATAATTTATTGCCTGAATGCTACTGATTAAATAACAAGAAGGCAAAAATATTGTAAGGGATCCAAACATGGGGTTTTCCTAATACCGAATAGGTGATCTCAGTGCTACATGTTGACAGCATAGTTATCAACTCCGTTATTTCAAATCAAACAAGCACTTAGCATAATGTGACGAGGGTACATTGTACAGTCTGCAAAAGTGCTTTAAAGAAAAAGTGGACTATTCTATGGCTACCAGCAGAAGCTAAGTGCTTGAAGAGTAAGCTAAGTGCTTGAAGAGTACACTGAGCAGAACTACTTGACTCAATATTAGAACACTCTTTAAGAGAATTTCAAATAGGGGGCAACAAATAGTAGGCCGTCAAATGCAATTCCAATTCTCGATTCACACTACAATTCAAATTTAAGAATTTAATAATAAGGAACTGCTACTTTATCTATGTGTCCGTTTTCCTAATGGTTTGATAATGAGCACATAAAAGCACTTCAACACCTCAAAAATTTTGAAAATGACCACAAACAGGGTAATGTTACAAACCAAATATCTTTCAACAATCAAGCCCATAAAAAATGGTAGTAAACATAGACAATTCACAAAGTCCATCAGAAACATTTCTATGTAACTTGTCTAAATTTGAAGTTGTGGCAGTACCACGCTGAGTTAAGAATGCTGTCATTAATCCACCAGGAGCAAGAACAACATTGAAGTAAAGTAGCACATAGGCAAGACTTGCAGGGAGCACAGGCTGCTGCATGTACTCAATCCATCCATGCTTGATAGCCTCCACACTCATTCCAACTGGTTATACAAAAAGATGAGTAAGTTGGAATACAATTGAAAACACCAATATGAAGAACACCAAAGACCAACCTATATTCTCAGTATCATTTAGTGGACCCTCCATGGAACTTCTGCAACATTGTTGCATAGATTTAGTGTGGTCAAGAACCCCCATAGAAAGCTTGTTGGTTAACCATGTGAGAAAAACCTTAAGATGCAGCACATGTTTCAGAGCTACTGATTATGGCAATTTTAAACATATCAAGCAAAACCGAAGTGTGAAGGAAAAAAAGTGAAGAAAAAACTACCAGAATAGGCACTGCACATATCATTAAACCAGCAGCAAGCTTCAAGCAGGTCACAGGATTGTATTTGGATAGAAGAATGCCAAAGAGTGATGCTCCAGCAATCTGCAATTTTGTAGAGAAAAGATTTCGGCCATGAAAGCCCATTTAGTACAAATTTTTGCAGTTAGTTATAATATAAAACACTCACTGAGCTCCCTTTTGATTTATATTAATGTGTTATGAATTAGCAGAACATTATCCACAAATGTCTGATATCACCACCCATAAGAAAATGACCATGCATTTCCTTTGCAATATAACTAGCCTTGAAAAGCTCAAGGTAGCAAAAGTTGAAATACCTCACAAAGGAGATCAATTCGACTAAGAACAGCATTTGCATGAGCAAGAGCAATAGGCCGATTAGTTCCTGCTAACTGCATAATAAATGAGAATGCTGAATTAGAAAATCACTCAACAATCCAGAGAAGAAACAGAAAAGTCTGACAATTTATAGGGAGGAATAAATGAAGCACATTGTACCAGGACAACCCAATCACGCTCCATTGCAACCCCCAGTGCCAACCCACATAGCCTTTCAACTGCCCCGGCTAAAACTAATACAACAAACCAAGGGCGGGGAAGCATGGAAGAGGCAGAAGAGGAGGAATAAAGAGTATGTGCATGAATTATCATAGCAACCGATAACAGCTGTGCAGTTGCCTGACAAAAAGAGAAGTATTTGAAAATAAATTTGAGGAAGAAATACTCCCACGTCCATCATCAACCACTGAACTTATATTGGCAAATTACCTGAGCAATAGTAAGACAATTATATGCCGGTATTCTGGGGAAATAATCCATGAGCTTACCAACTAAAGGGCCTCCAACAATTACTGCAAGCTGTTAAGCATGAAATTGATTAGAAAGCATTCTTATTCACTTTATTTTATGCGCACCATCAATTTTATTGATTTTATTGCACCTTAGCAAAGAAACCCATGACTGCCACAGGAAGAAGGCTTGGATGAAGCAATGCAATAGAAGCAGGCCAAGCAAAATTCCAAAACTGTTCCACCAAGTTGCCAGCTATACAACTAGCATACATTGCTGATTCAAATACAAGGCATAGAGTTAGAAACATTTGAATGAACAAGCATCGATGCAATTACATATATAACTTAAAAAAAGCCTATTAAGACACTGTAAACTAAAATAAATCATCACTGGGCTGAAGAAAAGGTTGATAGACATTAGTAAATCACAACTGGACCAGTGCACAGAATTCAGCTTCAGCTAAAAGGAAGCAAAGCCAGCAAAAACTTATTAGCTACCTTTTTGGACATTTTATTTATAATAGACCTTCACCATTCCTATGTAATCAAATAACAAAACCTACTTTCGCCAAACCCACTTTCTCCAAATTCGCTTTCCCTAAACCCACTTTCTGTCAAACAAGCCCTTAGAGACTAAAGGGAAAGTTTGGAAACCTTAAAACTACTAGTACTCACAATTTTTAATCAAAAATTAGATGTCTCTAGTTCCTTCATATAATCATGCTTTATGAATATCAAACTAGTTAGAAAATAAAAGGAAGGTTTAAAAACCTTAAAACTATCCAATACTCACAATTTCTAATCCAAAATCAGATGTCTCCAGCTCCTTCATAAGATCATGCTTTACGTATATCAAAATGGAAATACTTTGTTAGGTCTACCAAGTGAGAGAATGCCAAAGCTCCCAAAACATACTAAAAATCATATCATCAAATAGAGTTATGACCTTGCTATCTGAAGACCACACTATTGGAGCCGAAGCCCATTACATAAAATGGGCCACAGCAAAACCAAACCTGGGAGTGGCAAAGTACTCTAATCACATATTTTTTTTTGTTCCCTTGAACAAAAATCATTTTATTAGATACAGTTGTAACAAAATTACAAAATCATAATCATAGGACACCACTAAAGCTACAGTTTTAAGACAAATGGGTGCATGCACATACCATATAATCCTGCTGGATGGGCAGGGGTTGCAGCAATTGCATTCTGCTCCTCCTTTGTTAGGACCTGTAAAAGGGAACGGCAAATAATGAAAAGATATATCAAGACTAAACATATTCTACATTAAAAGGATATAAATGAAAAAGAATGAGCTGTTGGCCACCAGGAGTCATACTGGCAATGCTGTGAAAAGGGAATCAACATATTTCTCTTTGGCAAGTAAATCCAAGGATTCAGCCTCAAGCAGATCAGAATTAATATGAACAATTGGGACAGGACAATTTGAAGCAGCAGTTGAAACTTCTTCCCAAACTTCTTCATCAACGTCAGCATGATTGCAAACTTCAGTGTTCGATATTGAACATCTAGAATTAAAACTTTGAAGCCTGTAATCAAAATAGTCAGATATTCACATAAATGAACAAACAAATCTATGTCATAACATCAAGTCCTTGAATCACTCAAAATGATAACCAAGTAGATGGCCAAAGCAATTCATTTCCGATGGCAAAGCAGCTACACAAACTTAACAATTATCATCGAAAAAACCATGTAAAATAAGCTCCAAACAGTAATTTCTTTTCAATATAGATCATACATGGGTAGATCTAACCCCAAAATTGAGTTTTCAAATTTCAACCGTAGTCATACATTTTTTGATAGTTTGACCTTTTTCCAAACAAATTTATTAATTATGTCTCTGAAGAGCATAGTCATTTATTGGAAGCCAGCCTTTCTAATTTTCAACACACATTGAAATAGCTATAAAAGAATAATGCATACATGGAAATAAATAAGAAGCTAAGACTGACCATGATAAATAAGAATATACAAGTTAAATTAAATCACCAATAGAAATCAGTCAAACAACAAAATTCAGTCAGGTTCCATTAGCTACTTGAAAAGAATTCCCAGGGAAATTTTTGCACAAAGACGATAAATTCTTGTGTAAAACAGAAGAGATAAATACTTTGTGGTTTAAGATAAGAAGGAAGCAAACATGTCACATCTAACATAAGATGAATATATTGAGATAACAACACCCAAAAAATGTAAGGAAAGATGGGTGAAGGACAGGTTCACATGGTGAAAACGATGGATCAAAAAAAGGGCAAAAAGCAATGTGTTCTTTGTATTTCATCATATAAAAAGAGCTCATTACTTAATTGTTTGATGCTGTGACTACACACGATTCCTTTCACAATGTAGCCGCCATCTGAGCATAAGTCGCATTCTACAGGAACATTATTTATTGTTACAGAATTTACCACCAAATGTCATGCCTTTAACATGTCAAAGTTAATGAATTTCATCTTCACAATCACACTAACCCAATAAAAGCGCAGCATCTTCTTAACAATGTCCCAGAACTGTTGATGTGCGACATGTATCCATAAGAGAATAGAAGGCAGCTACAGCTATGTGAGTCCAAAAAAAAGCCCTAGAGTGAATGGTCAAACCCCATTTATATAGGGATGGCAATTGGCACATGAAGGAGAGCAAGTAAGTGGAGACACAAAGCTTCCCTCAAGTGGCTTGGTAAAGCCTACAAGTTTCCCGAAAACAATCTAAGATCCGTTTGTTGGCCTCTTCAATCTTAGTTGTTCCTCTCTAAAAACCAATTTTACTCAAATGTATATCCACGTGTAAACAGAATATAATATCAGTAACAATAGAACCTTTATTTTCTAAGATTAACATTATAAAGGAGCTAACTCCCACTAAAACAATCAATCCTCAACAACTTCTTAAGAAATCAACATAAGTAGGCAAGTTTTCAAAGAACACGCAAACAATGGCTTTCTTCTTCCACATTATAAAATCTACAATCCATCAAGTAAATTGAAAAACACGATCACCGAACCTTTATTTTCTTAGATTAACATTTTACAGGAGCTAACTCCCACTAAAACAATCAATCCTCAACAACTTCTTAAGAAATAAACGTAACTAGGCAAGTTCTCAATGAACACGCAAACAATTGATTTCTTCTTCTACGTTATAAAATCCACAGTCCATCAAGTAAATTGAAAAACACGATCACATAAAATGTTAAATAGCTACAGAGGACGAGGATGCTATTTTCAACATTTGCAATTTTTTTTCCGGAACCAAATTTTTATTGGAAAATGACCCAAAAAAGTAGAAGTAAAAAGGGATACCTGCGACGAGTAAAATGGGAATTCAACCATCGACCAGCAGGGAAGCGATGGCGTACTCGAAGCGGAGGTGACCCACACGATGAAGATGAAGCACAAGAATGGGATTCACAAGAAAGTAAAGGTAACAAACCCAATGGTGCCGAAGAAAAAGGCGGACGGCAAATGGCAATGACGCCCATGGTCGCTGCTTCAACAACTTCTTCTTGAAGCACCACTTATCCGGTAGCTGAAACACCTGACAACTCATGCAGCCCTTAGCAGCAGCAGCAGACGATCACTTCGACGATGAAGACGAAGATAGATACGGAAATGATGATTCTATACGAAGACAATCTTCGGCAGTTTCCCGAAACTGCTAGGGTTGACGGTTCTTCTTCACCTATCGCCAATCATGAATCACGTCACAAATCAGGGAAATTCCAATTGCCAAACTTCTGAACGATAATTTTCCTGGTGCATAATCACATTTACGTGGAGATTTTTTTCCTTTCGTTTTCAGTTTTTTGAGAAAACGAATTTAGCAGACCTCCTTATCTGGAATGAGGCCGCCGCGGGGGCGGACACTTCACAACCAGCCTAGCCAGAGACCGGGGCGGGACTTTCTTATGACGTGTTTGGATGCAGGCCAGTTCTTTTCAATTCTCATCCTTTTCGTGGTTGGTATGAAGCTAAGAACCAATCATGGTTTTGGGTCAAAATACAAAAATATATTTTGCATTTCTCAGTTGCAATAGAATAATATTTTTTTTATTTTTTAATATTAATTTCAGCCCGAAGTGAAATAACTTATTTACCAAAACTTTTGGGAACTCTCTTGATTTTTAAGTAGAGATAAAGATTAATTAACGAAAATATCTCACAAAATATTTGGATACTTTATAAAAACAATTAATGTTAATTATGTAGAAGCAAAAAGTCAGCCATAATTTTCTGTCGTCCCGCAAATAAATAATAACAATTAGAAGTGAATGTAAATTATCAACTTATTTGAACATTATGAAAACATATTTTGAGATAATCTATTTTCTTCAAACTATTATTTTTTATCTAATATTAATTACTATTTTTATTTTTTATTATTTTAATCTCTTAACTTAATACTATTCACAAATAATTTTATCAAATTAAACTATTTTGTCTCCACATTTTAATCATAAAATATTTAATATTTCTAATAATTATCCAATCTCCTTTGTCTTATTACATGCTTCTTGTGAAATAATTTGTTTAGTCTATATTCAGGTTAAGTGACAAGGAATGATAGGATAATTTTATCATATATTTTGTCACTTCTTTTTTATATATTTAATGTATTTATAACAAATTTAAACAAGAAATCTATATAACTGACATTATCTAACATTATTAGTTAAATAAAAATAATTTTATCACAGTTATTTGGCCTATAAGATTTTTTTAACAGAATTATCATTTTTTCCTTTCTCTTATTCTTTTGAGAGAGCTCTCCTTCCTCCCATTCATAGCCGAAGCCCTCTCCTTTTGTTTTTGGCTAGAATCTTGTTGATCATCCCTTCTAATCGCCTATTATCGCTTCCAAACACTAGTCATCTGTCTTCCTCCTCCTTAATCTGCAACCTGGCTAACTCCTTCCCATTACCGAGCCACTGTATTCAAATCCCTCTCTTATTTGCAACTCAATTGGTCTTCCCCATTGTCATGGATCCATGTAACGAGGATGTCGCCGTCTTCCCTCCTCCCAATGATATGGGCACTAGTCAAGTAGGAAAAGGGGCAGCCGTTGTTGGTGGTAGGTTATCTTCCACTTTGTTGACTGGGGATAAATGAAAACTTCTACAAATTGTGAGGGATAATATGTCTGCTTATACAAGCTATTCTTGAGTAATTTTTTATTTTTAGTTATTTTTAAGTATTTTTGTTTGTTTATGTTATTATTTATGATATAACTTTTTTAAATTCCAGTTAAAATTAGTCAAAAATAAAAGTATTTAAACCTATACTTATTATAACTAATAACACAATTGTAAATAATTAAGTTTTCTATTATATGAATATATTTTAATAACTTTTAATTATATTTCTATTTTATTCTTATCTAAATTAACAAAAAATATTGATTATTTGTATTATTATTCGAATTATTTTTATAAATTAAATTAAATATTAAATTAGAGTTTAAGAAAAAGCAAAATAATGTTTTTAGATTATAGGCAAGACTATATTAGAAAGAAGAATTTTTAAAGTTACATTTTAAAAATTATTAATAACTTATACAAGAGTTATTATATAAATTATTAATATTTTTGTTTTTCATTTTTAAATTGATAATATAAAAATTGTATCTATAACTCAATAAAAATGTTTTATGATTACATATATCACTTTAATAAGTAATCTAAGTATTTTAATGGAATAAGTAATTATTACAATTATTATACCAAACATTTATTTATTAGTTTTCGCTATTTTTTAGCAAAAATTTTAAATCTCTTCAATTGCTATATTTTTAAAACTTTTTTAATTATAATTATTTTTTAACATTTTTTTAAAAACAATAACTCTTGCAAATAAGATCAATAATTTCTCCTCCTCTAATTGGGATTATATTATTCCTCATTGGTGTATTATATCCCGTCCACTTAATTATTTGCATCTTATCCCTTTATCCATTTGATTATTATGTCAATTTATTCATCTCACAAATTTGTGAGTTCTACACCTTTCAATTTTATTACATTTGATTTTGTTATCTACTTTATCAAAAATGCTGCACTGTGTATAAATAATCACACTCTTTCTAATTTTCACGTTTGAAAGAGTTATAATTTACTCCAAATATATTCAAAATTATCACAGGTTATCCGCTCCCCAAATATAAGCCTAATACGAACAACCAAGGTTTTGATTATCTTTTTTATTTGGTTTTATTTTTAGAGACCAGTTTTTAATTTCAAAAGTAGAAATTTATTTTGATATTAGTTATTGAAAAATTATATTTAATTTTTTTAAATCAAGGTATTTTTTGAACAATAACAGAAGATTGTTTTAATATAAATTAAATTGAAAATAAAATAACACAATGATAATAATAGTATCAAGAGATTTATATATATATATATTTATATATTTTGAAGATATAGAAAACTGGAATACAAAAAAAGAAGAAAATAAAAACAAACAACGTTCGATCAAGACCGACTGGTGGGTAGTGAAACCTTTGAAAGAAAATTTTCCACGTGCTAGAGAGCCTGGTTAACCTCCCCAACCTCTGTCAAATCACAGCCTACAGTCAGGATCACTCCACCTGGGTTCGCTTGTCAGACATTAATGCGCCCAACCGCAGAATTCTTCCCGTCCCAGTAAAATATAATGGTAAATGCATCGGATGTATATTAAAATGGACAAATCTGAATTCGTTGAAACGGAAAAATTTAAATTTAAATTTAATTAATTTTATGTATATTTAAATTTAATTTAAAATTTTATAAAATATATTTTATTATATTATATTTAAATTTAATATATAATCTAAATTTTAATTAAAAATAATATTTTTTTATATTTAAGTTTTTCAATTATATTTTATCAATCATATTTTTCCTTAAATTTTTTAATTTTTTCAATTTAATTTATATAATTTTAAATTTATTAATATTATAAGTTAATATTATTTATATAATATTATTAATTTTAAAAATATTATTAATATTTTTTTATAAGCAAATAAATAAGTTTAAAGGAATAACTTAAATCTAGTAAATAAACAAATAGATAAAAAGATAAAAAGATTTATAAAATAAATAATAAGCTATATAATATAACTCAACTACATATAATAATATTATATTTATTATTTTAAAATTACGAGAGATTTAAAAATAAAAAAAGAAAGAGAAAAAAATATTAAGTTATTATTTTATATTATTTTATTATCTTTTCACTTGCATTAATTATGAATTATTGGTTAATAAATAAATTTAATACAGGATAACCAGTGAGAAAAAATATCAAGTTTAATGAATGAAATAACCAGTTAAAGTAAAGTATTTTATATTATTGTATTAAATTGTCTCATTGGCACAAGCTTGCGGGAATATACATTCTTAAAATTTATTTTTATTTGATTGTTGATATCATTGAATTTAAAAACTATTATCATGGATTTAAACAGACTTATAAGACATATGTTTTAGTAGAAAAATGTTTTATAATATCCAACAATAGGTTAATGATTGGGGAAATCTTACAATAAATTCATAAAGAGTAAGAGAATATATGGAAAAATGTAAGAGGGGTGAGGTGAGGTAAACAGCAGTAGAAAAAG